CTTTTACCCTGAATACAGCAGGAAGCCATTGGAGAGTTTCACTACAACCTGCCTTAAGGGTTAAGAGGATATCACTTGCACTTGTGTTGGGAATTGACAAAAGTGGAAGCTGGGAGGTCAGTTCATTGAAGACTACAGTTGTTGAGGCGAGAAATGCTGGTGGCCCAGACCGCAGTGGTGGCAATAGAGGTGATGGGAAGTGGTCAGATGCAGGACAGATTCTGGAGGCAGAACCAGAGGGCTTGCTCCTACCTTGGACCTGGGCTGAGGGAAGGGATTCAAGACAGCTGTTACCTGATGGTGAAGGATATGGGTGGAAGGTGGGCTGGGGGAGAAGCAGGACATAAGAAATTTAGACGTGCAAGGTTTGACACATCTGTTAGACACCCAAGTGGAGCTGTGAAGCAGACAGCTGCATTTATGAGCACAGAGTATAAACTCAGAAGTCACTGGCATATACTTATGAGACTTGCAATGTCTATTGCTCAGTAATCTGGTATTTGTGTACGAAAAGCCAAAAATGGGTATTAAGTATACGAAACTTTTTAAATTATAAATGAATGGACAGACTACATTTTCCAGAACTATCTTGAACCCCACTGGTTCCCTAATGCTTTTCTCAAGCCTCATCTGCTCCAGCTGGAAACTTTTTCATGGTCTCAGTGAAAGCTAAGTTGGGGAAATAACCACTCCGAACATTCTTGACGAAAACTCCAGGCAGTCTTTTTGTTCTTCCTAATGCCAATGGAGAGAACTTGTGGTTAGCAGAAACTGTGCTGGCTAGGATGTTTGAAGCTGGGCTCTGGTTTACGTTCTCAGAAATGTCCATCTTTGGCCGTCTGACTGGCACAATCTCCCAACATCTTGACAAATTCTTTCCCTTCTTCGAAGCAGCTTCTTTGGCCTTTAAAGAGAAATGTTTTGGGGCGCCTGGGTGGCACAGTCAGTTAAGCGTCCGACTTCAGCCAGGTCACGATCTCGCGGTCCGTGAGTTCGAGCCCCGCGTCAGGCTCTGGGCTGATGGCTCAGAGCCTGGAGCCTGTTTCCGATTCTGTGTCTCCCTCTCTCTCTGCACCCCCTGCCTCCCGTTCATGCTCTGTCTCTCTCTGTCCCCAAAATAAATAAAAGTTGAAAAAAATTTAATAAAATAAAGAGAAATGTTTTGTTCTCTCGTATATCCTTATGAACAACCTGCCACACCAGAAAACAACAGCAGTGAAGCAAGAACCATGCACTCCCACAGGCTGGGTGGTGGCCACTAGAGAGGTCCATGGACCGGTCTGGAGGACTTTTCTTCCCACTTCACCTCTGCGCTCACTTGTCCACAGCCCCAACCAGCAATGATCTTTCTCTTTCAGAACAAGTTTTGATTTGGGGGAAAATTACAAATTCTCACTTAAATCTCATTATAATTTTTGTCCATATTCTATTTTTTTCCCTCTCCTTCCATTTCTCACTCTCATCTGCCTTTCCTTCAACTCTTTCTGTCCTCACCCTTCAGCGCATGCATTCTCTGTTTTGATAAAGAAGCAAATAGCTTCCAGTGGGTCTTTCCCACTCTCTAAGTCCTTGCTGACACACATCCCTGCATTTGCTTGTTTGGGCTCCTGGACAGGACAAAGGCAAGTGTCACGCTCATGCTGACGGCTTTGTTAAACCAGTGTACACCAAGAGAAAGCACATCCATCCAAATCCAGTTGCCTATGAAGTATCATTAGAATTTGAGTAGATAGGAATTCAGAGTGATTATCTCCTAACAATTTGAATTGAGGGCTTTACATCTAAGATATTGATGGACGCTCACCCTTAGTGGGCCCTTCTCACTTTGGTAGCACCTCCACTGTTCTCTTTCTGGGTCATGCCTTCAGTGCTCAGTTTATGGCAAGTAGGGAGAAAAAGAAACAAAGCACAAGTTAAAATGAACAGATTAAAGAATGTGGAAATTATACTCATAAAACTGCCCTTGTTAAATAAGCAAATTGGGGTTATGCATCTTTTATTTTGAGTGTCAGCTTTACAGATGAGTTATTCTAATCATAGTATGCATTGAACCAAAATGAACCAAGCTACAAGCATCCATTCATTTTTTTTTTTTTCTCATTCTAGGAATATTAGGTTTTTTTTTCTTACCAAAGTACTCTTTTCCCTTTCAGAAATATATCATTTTTTAAAGTGACCATAAGCAATGAATTTCTATCCTACCCTTTCACTGGCAAATGGAGTTTATTAACACTGCAACATGAAGTCTGTGTGAAGCTTATTAAAGATGTGTTCAAAGTGCCCACATATTTCTTACCATTTTCCCCCAGGCCTCTCCTACTACATGCCAGACTGAATTTGGCAATCTTGAGTTTTAAAATATTTTAACGTATAGAATAGAGGGAAAACAAGGGTTTTCATTTGTTTTTGTACTCATAGAGTGCTGTTTTACAAAAGGTAAAAGTCTGTTAGTTGAAAGTCATGGAATCCCAGCTCAAGCCAGCCTGAATGGAATAGGGCTTTTTCTAGAATGATCTTGGGTTATCTCACAGCACCTGATACAGATTAAAACAGGCAGCCCTCAGAAGTTCAGGGGTGCAGCCAAATCTTGGAATAACCAAAACCAGCCACACAAGTACTGTCACAACTCTCGGTCTTTCTGCTGCATTCTGCACCCCAGTATTCTATCTCTGTCTCTCTCTCTCCCTGCCCACAAGCTTTCTTCCTGTGGATGAAAACATGGCCCCTGAGAACTTCTGAGTATTCTATAGTGGCAGACGTTAAAAGAGGCCGATGTGGACCTTCTTGGTACTGAAACCAAGAGAACTATAGGATTAAGTACCTCACCACCTGGCTCTGTTCTGCTTTCCATCTTTAAAGCAATTAACTATATGCTGGGGGAAGAAGGGGAGCACGTGTGTGTGTATGTGTGTGCGTGTTTGGCATTGGAACAAGGGGAGTGGAATGGAGTTGGATAGGGGCAAAGAGAGGTTGTGTAACAACTTGACAATTCCAGTGGGGAAAATGATGGAGAAAATGCCCTGCAGGAGCAGCGTGATCCAGAAGCAGGGAGGTGCTGGGATGTAAGAGAAGACAGCGGTAGGGTAGGTGGGCTTTCACAGGCTAGCCCCACAGACTCTCCATCAGGGTACACCCTGGGGCAGACATCTTTGCTTGGAATATGTGGATGTGGACACTGATGCCTCAAGTTTCTGTAACTCCCCACAACTCAAGGCTAGTGGGGGGCGGGGACTTTGGTCCATATCAGTGACAAGCCTGTTTCTTTCCCTTCGACCAAGACTAAGAGCTGGGAATGGGAATCAAGAGGAAGGATGTGATCTGGAGTAGGGAAGGGACCACTTGTTTTTGCTTATGTGTTGATTGCTTGGTTTCTGTGAACACGTTCCATAGAAAAATTACTGGTTCCTCTTTCCCCTCCCCCCTTCTGTTCTTTAAGCCACAGTTAGATACTATGGAGTTACCAATATGCTTTCCCCAGACATTAAGCCCTGTCAGCACAATTGTACGTTTGCTGTGCTGAGCGGAAAATTTCTAATAATACGTCTGAACATATGCAGGAATATTAGTTTCTGGGCTTTGAAACAATCATTGCTGGAGGGTTTTCTACCTATATAGGACACTTAGGATAAATCATCTTACTTTTGCTTGCCTCATATTCCCAGAGGCTACATAATGAACCCTTTTATTGTATTAGACCACTTCTGTAACTTCCTTACTCATACCCTCTCCCCCTTTAAATTCATGGTATTTTTTGTATTTCAAGATTATTTTCAAGAGTTCCCATATTTATCACTGCTTTTACTCTTAATTATATTCATTATTAATATTGAGCATTCACCAGGTTATTTCTGTCACAACCATTCCTGTGCTGTAGAGGTTTTAAGTTGTGTGTGTACGAAGTGAAGAGAATTAATTGCCCCAAGACATCATGCAGCAAATGCCTGAGCTGGGATTCGAACTCAGATATAAGTGACCCTAAAGCCCATGATCTCTGTCCAGAAGATATGAACCTTTGCCTTCACTCCCATTAATTCAAGTGGTGCTTGAAGTCTGTCCTTCCTATCATTTTTGTGATATAACGTGTTCATTTTACTTTGTTGTGGCCATGCTTAATATCTTGAATTTTCACTTACTCCAGTCTCAGTTTGTTATAATCCTTTTTGCTAAGCATTTGCAGTAGCTTTATGATAGCCCATTAATTTTATGTACTAAAAATTCCCTAAGAAGTTTTCTAATGTTGGACATCTACATTGATTCATCATGGCTGCCTTGTGAATGATGTTAATTAGCATGCATAGTCTTTATATTTTGAAATATATTCTTAAGATAGAGCCATTTAAGTATGATCGCTGGGTCAAATTATATGAATGCTTCAAAGAATTTTTAATGTGTGTGGTGAAAATGTTTTTCAGAATAGTCGTACTGTTTTCATCATAAGTAGTAAAGGCCTCGTTTTAAGGGTGGGTTGGCATTTTTTGAAATGATAAAGCTTCCTTGCATGTTAAATGAGCAGGTAACATCTTTTCAAATTTCATGTGTAGTTTAAAATAGATTCCTGGCCATCACCCAGAAGAGAATCATGAGGACAGTGACCTCAATTATCTGCCCCTTTTCCCTTCCCTTTAAAAATGCAAAACCTTTCCAAAATGCAAAATTGCAATCTTTGTAGATTTTGTTCGATGGTAAATGAAAAATCTTACAGATCCTGACCACTTCAAATTAACTTTAAGTCAATGGCAATTTGCCCCAATGTTGAAATGCTTCATGTAATTGCCTAAATCAGCTGTGAGCATTTCATCTCACAGTAGTGCTGGACAGACCTGCATCTTGCAGTTAAGCCAAAGAATTGTTTTGCTGTTACTCAAGTCTGACTTAGTATAGACATACAGAAGATCAGATTCTTCTATCAGTCCATGTAGTTGGGTATCAGACATTTTTGTGTTTTCCCTTCATGTCAACTGAGTTGGTTTATTTTGTTTGCTTTTGCTTTGTTTCCTTAGGTGTTTGCCAAACTACTGTGAACATGGAGGAGGCTGCTCCCAGTCCTGGACTAGCTTCTCCTGTAACTGCAGTAACACGGGTTACAGTGGCGCCACCTGCCATAACTGTGAGTGGTCCTGACTTACCCACAGAATGGGCACACCTCCAGGAGTGCCAGTGCTGACTTCAGGTTGCGCTCAACGTGGGGCAGGCTCTTTGGGTTCATTCATTCAACACGTGTTTCTTGGTGGCCATGTGGGATACATATAGGACTATAAGCCATATCCTCAGAGAGTTTGTGGCCTGCCAGGAACACAGATAGGAAAGGGAATAAGTGTTGGAGGCAGAGGAGAGACTATGTGCCCTAGGCTCACCAAGGGGAGATATTAGGTCAAGGGTGTTGTCTGGATGGGCTTGGTTAGGCTACTGTAATAAACAACTTCACCTGTCAGTGGCTTAAGTAACCAGTGGTTGTGTCATACCTGTGTTACATGCTTATGTCACATTGGCAGGGGCCCTCTTCCACTTTGTCCTCATTCTGGGATACTGGCGGTGCTCTGACACCCAGGAGGTTGCTGTGGCAGAGAGAAGAATGAGAAAGCATACACTGGCCGTTGAAAGTTTCCCCCTGGGAGTGGTAAACATCACGTCCAGTCACATTCTATTGGCCAAGGAAAGTCACAAGGGCGCACCTCAATTCAAAAGTTGCAGTCTTGCTGTGGGATCAGAGAGAACCAGCATCTAGATGATAACTTCCGATGATGGCATGTCGGTGTTAAGGAGGCTTCAAATAGAAGGCCTGAGTTGATCTTTGGTAAGAGTGTGGCAGAGAAAGAAAAGAAAAAGGAGACTGAATGTGTGAGTGGCTTGACGTGGCTGGAGAGTGCTGATAGTAAGAAGTAAGAGAGGAAGCAGGGTGAGTGAGGGAGGCTGGAGCACACAAGGAATAAGGGGTGATGAGTAAAAAAATAAATGACTAGCCGAGGCCCCGATTACTGTAATTTTATAGTCTCGTTGGGGTCACCAAACAAAAACACACGACAAAATAGAGGTTTGCCATTTACAGAATTGTGTGTCAAACTGTGTGAAGTGAGCTGTAAGGATAATTTAGAAAGACACAGTCTGAAGGTGCTGGCTATAGTTGTGGGAGATTTCATCGAAAATGTGAGCTGTGAAATTGACTTCGACGGTAGAGAGGTAGGAGGTGGAACTGTTAGAAAAATGTAAGAACCGAGCCAGGGGGCTGCTGAGGACTACGGTGAGGCCCAGCAGGGGTGGACCTCACCAGGGTTTCCTAAGTTCCTGCTGTTGCCAGGATGGCACCTAGAGATTCAGAAAGCAAATGGGAGATGCCGGCAGTGCTGAGATCAGACTCTGATGCAGCGGGCACTGTCGTCACTGTCAGCCCTGAAGACCTCTCAGCCATTCAACAGCCTTTCTGAGCCTTGCAGGGTAGCATTTACCAGTGATGCCCACAAAGATGTCTAGTCACATCAGAGACAACACAGCCCAAAGGTCATCACGGATGATGTTACTATTTTTTGGATGTCTGTGGAAATGAAAAATACCACCTGGCTAAAACCCCACCTGGCTTTATAATGAAGTATATTATTGGGGCACCTGGGTAGCTCAGTTGGTTGAGTGTCCGACTTCGACTCAAGTCATGATCCCAGGTTCATGGGATCAAACCCCACGTTAAGAGAGTAGAACGTGCTTGGCATTCTCTCTCTCTCTGTCTCTGTCTCTCTCCCTCTCCCCTTCTCTGTCTCTCTCCCCTGCTTGTGCACATGCTCCCTCTCTAAAGTAGAACTAAAAAGTATTTTTTTTATTTTAAAAATATAATGAAATATATTATTTAAAATTTTCTATTTAGAAATTTGGAACACAGTGAAGGGAACACTGGACTAAGAGAGATTAAATTTGGATTTTACCTAGCTCTTGTACTTGAATAAGCGTATCATTGTGTCACTCCAAAGCTGTTTCTTCACAGACTCTATACTAATGAAATCTTGTGGGCCCTTTTAAGGCTAAAATTACATGTTTTGTTTAAGATTCCTAGTAAATACCAACCTATGAGTATTGAGCCTAATTCCAGAGATATCATCCTTAAGTAGCCAAGAACAATGTTTACTTGCATAGACACCTTGCAAGACATGTATAGTACTGTCTGGATTCTAGATTGTCACATCAGTGCTCTTGTGAGATGCTCAGTGACCACCAGAAGAGCCATCAATGTAATAGTGAGAACCTTGAAGAAAATTTAAGTCAAAGATGCCCAAATTTTGGCAAAATCACATGACAACATTTCTATGAGTTTTTATAGCTTATTCCATTCACTTTCTCCTAATTTAACACTATGTTGAGGAGTTCATCTCTATGGATACTCTTTTCCTTTAATTTTCTCCATCCATCAGGCTAAAAATAGAATATTTCCAGCTTTTAAAAAAGTGTGAAGTTGAAAATCAATGGAAGTGAGGTGCTGATTTTTAATGGAACGCTATCCCAGCTGATGAGCAGGAGACTCAACACACAAAGCCTTAAAAATACCATTCTGTTTTTATAACACCTTCTATTCCCCTTGCTGTGAAATTGCTCAGTGCTCTATGATAGGTTGCCACACTGTTAGGCTCTTTCTTCCCTTCTGGGCACCCAGCCAGGAGAAATCAGGTCCTTGGATGGTTGTGAGGGCTGGCAAACACACCTGGTATGCCTGTGCAGTTCAAGAATTTGTCATCCTCTAACTGATTTCTTCCCCTTCCCCAGTTGGGTGAGGACCATTGTTTTGAGTCAGATTTGTAAATTGAGTGACCCAAGGCATGCTTTCCTGCCTGCAAAAAGCCTGTCCTTCCAAGCCCCCTGCACTGCCCCCCACATGGGGCATCAGAGATGAAAGTTGCCCAAATGCAGAAGACAATACATAGGTCCCTAGGCCCCTTGGCCCTCCACCACATAAGAAAACTACCAAAGGGGTTATAGGGCTTCTGATCTCTCAAAGCTCACAGGTAGCAGGCTCGGTGGTATTTGAGGACACCCTCAGATTGAAACAACCCAAGCAAGTTCACAGCCCCACTCCTGTGGAAATGGCAATGTCTTTGGTGTGTTGGGGCCTGTGTTCTTGAAGCAGTCATCCACACAACATTATATACAGTCTTCAGATTTGTAAGACAGTTCATATTACTCAAAACTGATAATTTCTTGAGTATTCTTAATCCTTTGTTTCTTCAAGCTCTTCAAGGTGTTTTAATTTTTCATTATGGTGCTTCTTAGTGAATGTAAACCAACAGGGCTGAGGACAGGTAGGGTTAACTTCTTTCTTCCAGCTTTTGTGGATAAGAGAGGAGTCTGGGTAAAGGGGAGGGTATTATGGACTCTAAGAAATAGCACAATGGGAACCCCAATGTGTTTAGGCAGAGCGGGTTGCTGGTAAAAGTAGATCTATCATCATTCCATTTCAATTTTCCTTCCACCTTACCCGATGACACATAAAGAAGTTGGGCATACAAGTTACATTTCTTTTCAAATACACTTTGTTCAAAACCACCTGTTGAAGAAGGAGGTGGTGAGCATGTGGGGAATTCCTGTCTCCAGATAGCGAAGATATGTGAGTCTCTCACTTATCCCATGAGCTGTCATTGAGCCCTATTGTGTCGTGTCTGTAAGTTGTTTTGGTTAGGAGCCGCCTTCTCTGCATTGTATTCTGTTCTCCAGAGGAATAACTGAAGGTATACCAATGTTTGCAATCCACACAACCCCTGGCAACCCAACCAATGAGCAGAGCCTTCAGACCACCAGAGATAGTCACCCGTGTTCTTGGTTTGATGCAACGTGCAGGTTTAGAAGGTTATGTAGTTAAAGCCAAACTTCTAAACAGGTACAGTATATCTTGGTCATGCTATCCTATGAGTGCAAGTTAATATTAAAAGGAAGAGGTTTGATTATGGGAGTTCAATGCATAATTAGTCTACCATGTAATGATAAAGTCATATGGTATTACTATCTCCATTTTATAGAGCATCACATGGCAACCCAGAAAAGTTACATACCTTCCTCAAGATCACACAGCTAGTGGAGCTGGGACTTGAATGAATGGAATCTGGCTTCAGATGCCAGACACATTTTAAGCTCTGTGTTTTATTTCCTTTCTTAAACACATAAGACATTTGCAAACCTCTCTATGTGAACTTAATGGTGAGGCATCCATGACTTCCTTCATATCGCTTGAGACACACTGGGATATTGTGATACGTGATTGAAAATGTAGAAGACTGCGAGATGAAGATGTTTTTGCATTCTAGAATAATCGTGCAGTCATCATGGAAGAAAGTAGGATGAATTAGCACTTGAAAGACAGCAAAAATTAAAATGAATGTAAGAAATAGGAAAGCTTATGGAAACAGGCAAGAACCAAGACGTGATGGTAGGAATATCTATGCTATACTTTGGAACACTGCATATATTTCCCTGGCTCCAAAAAGGAAAGATAAATAGCTCCATTCATTCCCAAAGCCCAAATGATATTCCTATAAAGCAGTTTTCCCTAGGGGAAATCTGAGCTCATTCCCATTATAACCAAACCTTTTTATGTGCTATTGAAATATCTATAAATACCACTTTAATGATTACATAATAAATAGTCCATTTAATGACTTTTATTCAAATATTGTCATCTATTTTTTTTTGGGGGGGTGGAGAGGACCTGTGTTGTTTCCAAATATTTATTATTATAACCAACTGTAGTGAGCATGTGTGTGCTTAAGTAATTTTTAAATCCCTCATAGTCTATTGTTTCCTTAGGATGTCTTAGTAGTGGTATTACTGAGTCAAAGACCATGAATAGTCTCAAGGATCTTGATTCATATTTTCAGCTTGTTTTCCTAAAGTCTGGCTACAGTTTGTACTCTGATTATTATTTTCTGATACCTTGTTTTGCCTTCTCTGCCAGAATTGTTTGCTGCAACTTAAAAAAAAAAAAAAAAAAAACCTCTTCCACTTGCATTTTTACTAAAACATTTGAATATTGAAATGGAAATTATTATTGACCTTCATGGTGAGTTCCAGATAAAGAAAACGGTTGATGTATTTATTTATTTTTATTTTTTTAGATGACTTATACAATAAGAATAAGAC